GGAAATCAACCCATCTACCTACGGTCAACTGATTTTTGACAAGGAGATGAAATCAGTTAAGTGGGGAAACTACAGCCTTTTTAACAAATGTTGGCAAACTTGGTAAACTATCTGCAGAAGACGACTCAAGTGAGATCCACACCTCACTCCATACACAAAAACTCTAGGTGGATCACGGACCTAGGATTAAAACCAAGACTACAAACTTCATTAAAGAAAAACTGGAAGAATTCTACAAGTCCTGATCCACAACATAAACAGTCTTCCAAGCATCCTGAAAAATCTAAAATCAGGAGATTAAATAGATGAATGGGACATTCTAAGAATCAAATCCCTATGCACATCCAAAAACTTCAAAAGGGTAAAAAGGGAAGCCACAGACTGGGAAAAAGTATTTGTTAATGACATGTCAGATAAGGGACTTATATCTAGAATTTATAAAATACTTGAGCGCCACAACAAGATAAAGGTAAACAACCCATTTGAAAAATGGCCACAGGATAAGAACACTTCACCAAAGAAGACACTGAGATGGCCAACAAACACATGAACCAATGTACAAAATCCCTAGCTCTAAGAGAGATGCAATTCAAAACAACTATGAGATATCATCTCACCCCAGTAACAACAGCAAGCAACAAATGCTGGTGAGGCTGTGGAGACACTAGAATCCTTATTCACTGTTTGTGGAAGTGTAAAATGGTGCAACCACTGTGGAAGGCGGTTATTGAGCTTTCTCAAGAAGTTGCAAACAGAGATACCATTTGACCCAGCAATTTCATTACTGGGAATATACCCCAAAGAAACTATAACTGCCACCCAAGCAGATATATGCACCCATGCTTATCATGGATTTGTTCACGACAAGCAAGGAGTTGGAAACAACCTAAGTGCCCATCAACAAACAAATGGATAGAGAAGCTGTGGTATCCTCACACAATGGAATACTACACTGCATTGAAAAATAAGGAACTCATGAAATTTTATTCAAAATGGGTGACCCTGGAAGACATTATGCTGAGTGAAATATCTCAGTTACAAAAGGACAAATACTGCATAGTGCCACTGTTGTAAAACAGGACTGGCATCAGAGTAGGGGGGAACTGAGAAAGATAAATAATATTTACTGCATTGAAACAGATGAGGGAGAAAACTGTTTAAAGGGGATATGTGATTAGGTATTACTGTCATGACAGGAGTGCAGAACGAAGGCTGCATAAGGGAGTAGACCTGGGGGGACAGACTTTAAACAATGAAAGAATTTTTCTTTTATTTTTCAAAGAGAAGAGTGTACTTGGGTGGAAAAGTGGGCAGGGAGAAAAGTGCAACAATGAATGAATGGAAATCCAAAGTCTCTAAAATTTCATCAAAATTAATAATAAATTTTTTTAAAAGGAAAAAATAGAATCTTTGTTTTCTTGATACTGAGCTTCAATCCTTATTGCAGACTACAGTCCTTGACTGTAGCAAAAGCTTCCCCTCTTCAATTTCAGCAAGCAGGGTTGTGTTATCAGCATACTGCAGGTTGTTGATGAGTCTTCCTCTAACCCTGATGACATACTCCTCCTCAAAGAACCAAGTACTTGATATCTTTCGTATGTTGACTAAAAAAATATGGAGACATATCCCTGACACACTCCTTTCCTGATCTTGAATCATTCAGTGTTTCTGTGCTCTGTTCTGACAAATGCCTCTTGATCCAAGTATAGGTTTCACATGAGCTCAATCAGGTGTTCTGGGATTCCTATTCTTCTCAAGGTTAGCCATGATTAGTTGTAACCCACACAGTCAAATGCCTTTACTTATCAATGAAACAGGTAAGACATTCTTCTTGTACTCTACTTTCAGCCAAGATCCATCAGACATTTGCAATGATATCCTTAGTGCCACAGCCTCTTCTAAACCTTGCTTCTGTATTGTTAGTAACAAAACACTTTAGAATAAAATGCTAGTAAGAAAAAACCCAACCCACTGCCATTGAGTGGATAATGTTTTTCATCTTTTTGTACATTAAAAAAAAATTGTAGAGTAAACCTGTATGGCAGAAAGAAAACCATGAGAAGAACTACATTTTGAAGGATATAAGATGATTTAAACAAAAATTCAGGTTCACTCAAAATCACCATCTCTACTACATAATGATCGAATTATATGCAACCACTGAAGGTAACAAGCTGCAATACACCTACCTGTAACTGAGCCTTATTTGCTGAAACAAAGAAAACCTGAAGCACTTTTAGCTGCTAAATGAGAACCATAGAGTTTTTAGATTTGACCACATCTCATCTTACAAAAACCAAATAATTTCCACAACCGGACAAAGAATATCATTTTAAACTGAGAAAATACTGAAGTTGTCAAAGATTTTATTTTACTTGGATCCACAATCAACACCAAGGACAGTAATTTTTATGGAAGGAAAATGTCTCTCTTTCTTCCATGGAGCAGCTGGTGGACTCAATTACTGACCAAGTCAACAGTTCAACACACTGCACAGTATACCACCCGAGTTACTTAAAATCAGAGACCCAAATACAACATTTAGAATATGATAATCACAAGAAGTCACTGATTTCAGAGATTCAGTGTTGTGATTACTGAGATAAAGATTATGGAAATTGCAATGGAAATAAAAAGGAAATGTAGGCCACATCTAAATAACCTACCTGATAGAACTTTATTTATGGTTAGTAACACAAGAATTAACTTTGTTATATTAATGTGTTGAAAAGAACACTCTACACCAACGTTCACAGCAGCATTATTCACCACTGTAAGAACACTGAAACAGCCCAGATATCCAACCACAAACGAACGTATTAAGAACCTGTGGTACATTCATACACTGGAATACTACGCATGAGCAATTATTTTGTAAATTACCACCTAACTTGGGAGAGACTGGAGAACATGTTTCTGGGTGAACTAACTCAGTCCCATAAGGAAAGCACTATATAAAACTATTATGGTAGAATGAGTATGAGGATCCAAGGTGGGGGTAGGGTGTTAATCATAAGGTTGCACAATTTGATGGGTAGGTTGTTATATGCCGTTGCTTGTGACTCATAGCAACCCTAAGTACAACAGCCCTAAACTCTGCTCTGTCCTGTGCCAATCTGTCTCCAATACACCCATCCCGATTACCCCAGTCACTGAATCAATACACCTCATAGAGGGCCCTCCCCTCCTGCGCTGTCCCTCCACCCTACCAAGCATGATGTCCTTCTCCAAGGACCGGTCCCTCCTTACAACATGTCCAAAGCATGTTAGATGGAGCCTCAGAATCCTTGCCTCCAGGGAGCTGCCTGGTTTAACCCGTTCCAGGATGAATCTGTTCGTTTTCCTAGCAGTCCATAGTACACTCAACACTCTTCTCCAGCACCACAGCTCAAAGGCATCAAATCTCCCTCTATCCTCCCTAGTTACTGTCCAACTCTCTGATGCATAACAAGTGATTACAAAGACCATGGCCTGTATCAGATGCACCTTAGTCTCCAGAGAGATACCAGTGCTTTTCCGTACTTTGGAGAGGTCCCCAACAGTAGATTTTCCCATGGCAATACGTCTTTTAATTTCCTGGCTGCTGGTGCCAAGAGTGCTGACTGTGGAGACAACCAAACTAAAGCTGTTAACAATCTCAATCTCTTCACCATCCATCCTGATGCTGCCAACTGGCCCAGTGGTGAGAATCTTTGTCTTCTTGACATTGAGCCTCAATCCATATTAGGTAGGTTAGGTGAAGAAAATGGGTAGGATCTTTTGTGAAAAACAATGTATTCAAACTTTGTAAATAAGATTAATGTAAAAATAATTTTTAAAAAGAACACTACAAAAATTAAAATGACTAGAAATAGCTAACAATTGGGCTTTAAAAAAAACCAAATGTTTACCTGGCAATCATTTAACAAAGAGATAGGCGACATCATAATTGTTTTATCTTTTCTGAGTAAATTATAAAGCAGGTAGAAGAGTAAAGAGTCATACAATTAGGTCAAAATTAAGCTGTGGTCCTGAATATATTATATACAACCACATGAATGCTCCCATGCATTCCAGAAAATTATTATTATCTTTACTGATAATAAGACCCAAAAAGAATGATATCCAAAATATCTTTTTAAGTACATTATACCAACTTGAGGTTAATGTTTCCCATTTACTTGAGATTATCTTTAGAATAGCAAACACTGGAAACACTTATGTATTGCTAAAGAACTGAATTCTTTTTTGAAGCATGATTAGTGACACTGGTGAAGATTACTGAATATACTATGGACTGCCAAAAGAACAAAGCAGCTGTCTTGGAAGAAGTGTAGCCAGAGAGTGCTTCTTAGAAACAAGAACTATTGACTTTGTCTCCCATACTTGGAAACAGCTATCGTGCTTGAAAAAGTGCAGTAAGTGAAAAGAGCGGAATACCTTTAATGAGTTAGACTAACAGAGTGACGCTAACAATGGCTTTACACACAGCAGAGATTGGGAAGATGGGATAGAGTTGCTGAGTCAGAGTCAATGTGACAACACTTAACAGCAACAGTTAGTCCCTGAATACAGAAACAATTTCTTGCTAAAAAAAAACACCCAGAAACCAAAATAAAGACAAAAGCTCTATTCTGCTGTAGTTGTACAGCACATGTATACAGACATACTCTTCTCTCCACACACTATACACTATACTTGGAAAAGATACAGTACACTTACAAATTATAATGGCATTGTACAACAATTATATCCTGATTAAAGTTGTTAACATAACCATTGTACATAGACTGGAAATCCTTCACTCCTCCATCTAAACGTACGTGTGTGTGTGTGTGTGTGTGTGTATATATATATATATATGTGTATATATATACTTACTCTCTTCTCTACTTTTCTCTTACACTATCATTTTCTCTTCCTCGCAAAGAAAAGAATTAAATTACATTTTACAGTTGGGACATTAAAAAGGAACACAGTTCCTGATTTAAGCTACAAATACCAACAGCATCTCTTATTACCTTTGACATGTTATGGAACCATCTTACAAGATGTTGTAGAGAAGCCTGTGTCTCATTTCTAATATTGGTGAACTCCTCTCTTTTACCACATTTCCATTTATAGAATTTCTCAAGTATTTCTTCAGAGTTTATGCCTTCTTTGGCTTGTCCATAGAGTATTTCTAAAGAGGTTGACAAATCCTGCAGAGAGATACATATCTATTTAATAAAGTGCTCATTAATTGTATTAGACCAAGAGATATAAAAAGTCTACTGGATCCTTATACTTGAGAATATATAAATAGTACTTAGAATAATCAGAAATGAAAACAAAAAATTATCTGGAAGGAACTTTACTTGGACTTTATAACAAAAATAAAAGCAACTGAATTAAGGTTATAAATTTAAAAGTTTTAAAGTCTTTCAGTATCTTAAGTAAGACCTACTATTGGTCTCTTACTCACCAGAACAAAAAAGAGGGAGAAAAATGAAAGCTAAATAGAAGCAATTAGCCCAAAGGAATAGTGAACATGAGTGTCAACTTTCACAATCCTGATACCAAAAGAAGTAGATGACCCCTGGTTCTCATTTCTGACCACTCTACAAGGGATCACAAAACTGGTCATGGATAGAGTAGATAAAATTGTAAAACAAAACATCAAAAAACACTAAAATGTCCCAGGTTGGATTTCTGGGTAAGATGCTAACTAGGTAGATGGCAGTCCAAATCCTTCTCAACTAAATCACCAGAAAATAAAAGAGATACAATTTATTTAAAACTCTAAAAAGCTAGAGAAGTAGTTCAAACACTGAGCAAAGGAAGAAACTGAATGAAAACACTGAATAAGAAGTCAGACTGAGAACAGAATTATAAACAGCACCCAGCGGCCATTTTTATGTTTGTGGCAGTTAAATAGTCAGTGTGGAAACCCAGGACTACCAAGGTGTCCATACCCGCAGCTGCTGCTGACTAGAAAGCTGAAATATCCCAACTTGTTCCCCATACCATCCAGGACTTTATGAGAGTGACTCCATGCCTCACTCATTGCAACCAAGTGATTGGCAGAACTCCAGCTGAGGCCAAACTCGTGCCATTTTGTAGTTGATGCTAGAAAGTGTACCTAACTCTATACTCAAGATTCCACTAAGGAACAAACCAACTGCACCATGCTTGGCCTGCAGCCAGCCTGCAGAGGTGAGGGCACCATCTCTGGCTAAAGTCCTTGTCTCTCACTGGACACCTTTGTGTATATCTCGTCAGTCACATACGGAGCTGTACAACCACCATGGAACATGTCACTTCTTACACATCTAAGAATGGCCAACTGTCTCTTGATTCTAGACACCTCTTACTTGGTACCCTGACTGCATGCCATCTTCCTGAGACTAGCAAACACACTAAACTTACCCAAGCACACTGCCACAGGCTCCCGTGTGGTTTTCAGAAACTCACTCCAGGCTGGGTGTCCTGCCCCTTGACATCGCCTAGACCAGAAGAGGTGCTGATACGGTGCCCATTTTAGGTCCTCAGCCACTTTTTAGTCAAGCACAGACTCTGACCTGACTGAGCACTCCAAAACCAAGTTGCTATGGCAGACAAGCTGTCTTGCCTGCCTTCAACAACAGCAAGATGCGCACGAGGTGACCAGCTCACTTCCTTCCAAGAGCCCTCCGTTTGTTAGTCTTTATTTCCCATCATTTTACAGAACTGTTGCTTGCATGTGTGTGCGGTTGGGGGTGTGTGTATTTGTCTTTATGTCCTCTTTCTGTTATTCTCTAGCTTTCTCCTTTGCCTTGCTGTCTTTCGGGATTCTCTTTATTTGCTGAGGGAAGTATTTTCCTCCTTTCTGTCCTTCTGATTCTCCATCCTTCTGTATTCTTCATATCTGATTTTGGGGTTTGGGGGAAATAACATGTATTTTGCTGTTATGTTTTTCCCCAATTTTTTTGTTTATTTTATACTGATTTATATTTACAAAGTTCAAATATATTGCTTTTCACACTGGATCTTTCCCATTTTCTTCACCTCCCCAAATCCATTAAATTGTGTAACCCTATGATTAACCCCCCAATTTATTTATATTTTATACTGGTTTGCATACAAAAGTTGTATGCATTGTGTATCATTCATGTACACTCCATATCACACATTGCTACAGTCAGAATTATTTCAAATGATCACTCTCATGTACACTGTGGTTTTTTAAAATTAACTTTTTTTTTCCTTTTTCTTTCTCCCGCCCAACAATAGACAGCATGTTATCTAACCATACACATATTCCCCTGCTCTTCTACACCTAACTGATGAACACTGTGGCTCAGACCTAGTACGCCCTCAACTTCATAGTAAAATATTTCAATACATTTTTTTCTGTTCTATTGTTATTGTTGTTCAATACACTTTTGAGGGACAAAACTGGAAAATCACCCAAGATGCAAAAAACGAAAACAATATACTTAACCAAATGAGTCTTGTAGACATACCTAGAACACACCATCTAATAATATACACTCTCCTCTAATGGACATGGAATGTACTCCAGAA